ACGAGAGAGAGAGAGAGAGAAGGAGAAGAGGGAAAAGAGAGAGAGAGAGGGGCACGCACACGCACGCACAACACGAGGGAAACGGAGGAGGAGGAGGAGGAGGAGAAGGCAAAACGTAGGAGAGACCTGGACCAGCCACAATCTATCTGTCGCGCGTGCAACGATACGTCGCCACGAAACCGCTTTGCGCGAGAGACTGAGAGAGAAACGTGGCGCGGTCCCTCGATTCGCCAACTCGACGAGGAGAGCGGTATCGAGAGCGCGCGAGACGGACTCTGGTTAGAAGAGGGAGGCACAGAGGGAGCCAAAGAGAGAGAGAGAGAGAGACGAATACGGAGGCGGAGAAAAGCGGCGAGAAAGGGATGGAAAATGTACGAAAAAGCAGAGAGGAGAATTGAAAAGGCTGAGCGAAGATAAGGGAGGATGGAATACGGACGAGAATGGAGATCGAATGGACGAGGAATGGTTTCTGAAGGGAGAGAGAGAGAGAGAGAATACGTGTGTCGGGCAAGTGCACGCGTGCGCCTGTTTCGAGTGTACCGGGTGTCAAGTGAGTCACCGATTTTAATCGCACGATATCGTTATGATTTGTAATCTTTTCCATGAAAAATTTCTAAACTCACGGAAATTCTGAATTCATATCGGAGATAGAATTTTAAGATAAGAGCGTTGGCGTGATCGGTATCGAAGAAATTACAGGCGAAATCTGAAACATTGGAAGATTTTTTTAGAGATTTTCCAGAAAGAAATAAAACTTCTTTCGAGGCGAAAAAAGTACGTTTGTCTTCTCTTAAAATAATGAAAGAAGGAAGAACGAGAAATAATCTTTCCTTTCTTTCCTTTTTAGCCTCCTTAACGATCGAAAACTCTACTAAGAAAATCTGGCTGCATAAGAATTCTTTGAAAAAAAAACCTACTCTTCGAAAGCTCGTCCGATCGAAAATGAATTCGAATTCAAAAGTCGACGCACAGTCATCATCGTCTTGCCGATAATCACGTGAATAAGGACCACCATTTAAAAACTTTTCCTACGTGTTCGGGAGAGTCACGTTTCCCTGGAAACTATCGCATAATTTCTTAAAAGTATACGTGTATGCATATATATATATATAGGCGATGTTCCGCCCGTAACACGTGTATTGCCGCGAACGGTAACTATGATCCGTATAACACGCCCAAGCGTAACTAGGTCGTGCACCTCTGTATCCCCTGGAATAATACAGGGTGTCCTCGTTCGAGGAAAGAACTGGGTCTTCGATGCTTCGAACTAGAAAAAGAAAGAAAGAAAGAAAGAGGAAGAAAAAAAAGATACAGAGTTTTCGAGCTCTTTTCTTCGACCTGTTCGAATGACTTCCGACACGCGATACCCACCACAGGCTATTCCTCCCGATGACGCATCAGAGACATCGCTTCTTCCGTAAAATGACAAGGGCTAAAAAAAAAAAGGGACGCGTTTCGCTTACCGATCTCTCTCTCTCTCTCTCCCCGATATCACGTTGCGAGCAAATATTTTCTTCCCGCGAAACGATACACGTAAAAATAGATTAACGTTTGGACGACGAACATCGATTCTTCGATGATGATGGAAGCAACGTCCTGGGAGGATGATCGTTCCGCTTATTATCACCGTGTGTAATAAGGGATAAAAAAAGATATGGGTCGAGAAATGGGTCAAGGATTCGATCCGTCGTTCGTGAAAATTAATTCGATCTAGAGACTAATAATAATAACAAGAACAATGATAATCGGACGAGGATGATAATTATTTTTTCCAACGATTCGATAAAAAGTGTAAAGAGGAGGGAAACGAAGAAAGGAAGAGGAATTTTTTCGCGCGGGGAACCCAATTCCAGGAAGTAACCCAATTCCTGCGGGAGGGATGACCCAGCCACGAGGAGGAGGAGGAGGCCGGTAGGATGTATTCCGCAGGAGGCGGGATATATGGGGGAGGTTAGAGGCCGCCAGGGGAGTACGTTCGGTTTAGCAATACGTGCCAGTCCGATGCACCCCTTGTCGCCATGGAAACGACCTACTCTCCCTGGACAGACGCATCGGCCACCCTCTGCGTGTTAAACATTTCGAATAAGGATATCTCTCCTTTCGAGGA